GTTCCACAGTCAATCCACACTGACTGAAAGTAGGTCTCCTGCATCCATTTTCTTTTCCATTATATTTTTCTGATATACTGCAGTATGTACAGTATTCTTTTCTATAGAGGACCCACCAGAAGAAACACCTTTAGACTGAATCATACTGAAGTTCCCGTGGGAAACTCTTGGGACGCTTGGCTGCAGAAGCCTCTCCAGGAAGCCCTGGAGATGGTACAGGCCCAAGGGTCATTCAGCTCTGGGGTAAAGTTGTGGCAAACTTGGGGGTGAGAGGGGGTGTGCGCTGCCCGTCATGTACCTGATCCCGTAGAGTAGGCATTGGTGTTGAGGAGGGAGGAGCTCTGGGTGGTCACGTTGTTGTGATAGGTCCCCATGGAGGACCCTGCGGGCAGGGTGGAGGACCATACATGGGAGGGCAGGTTGGCGTCCAGGATCGTTGCATCGTAGGTGCCGGACACTGGAAACGGACACGCACACACCCCAGTGAGAGATAAGCCAACACTTCCTGATGTTGTCTCGGGTTATTGGGACTTTCCTGGTTTTATCACTGAAGGTCCCAGGAACTCCCTCAGTCCAGGGCAAATCAGAGCAGTTGGTCATCCCACTNTCAGGAGCAATTAATGAGACCCCCGAAGCAAATCTCTTACAGTATAATTCCAGGCACTGGGACAAGTATGGGGTGTGTGTCTCGGTCCAAGGCCACACCACATGAGGGAAGCCTTCTCCAGTTAAACCCTCCTCAAACGTTCCTATGTGCCAAGGGCACTCTGCCTCTGAAAGGGGCTTTCATGCTTCTTCATATCTGATGCCAGTTCTGCCTATTTGCTCTACAAGAGGGAGATAATCATGCAGGTCATAAAGTGCTCCAAGCTTTGGTTTTATAGTAAAAACCAAGAGGAGATCACAGTCTCTATGATTTTTTCCAGTAGTGAATGAGAGGGAAGCTTCATATCATAGCAGACCTGGCTTCTTTCCTCGTCTCCCTCCAAGGACCTGCTAATTCATCTTTCTGTTTCCCCCAGGACCTACCTTGCACTTGGCAGGCACTTGGTGTATGAGCACTGAACAGCACTGATTTACATTGTTTGTCCCTCAAAGTTTCATGTATTAGACATACATTAAGTTCATCCCTCAAAGTTTCATGTATTAGAAACTTCATCCCCACTGTGACAGTGCTAAGAGGCTGGGAAATCCTATTATAGTAATTGAAAGGTGGGGCCTTTAAGAGGTGATTGGATTGTTAGGACTGTGTGGAGTAATGGGCATGGTTCTGATGGCTTTATAAGGAGAGCAACTGAGAAGCGTAGCCATCTCTCTTGCTCTGCCATCTTTGCCACATGATACCCTGCATTGCTATAGAGCCACCACTGAGAAGGCCCTCCCCAGATGCCCCCTGGACTTAGGATTTCCCAGACTCTGAAACTGTAAGAAATATATTTCTTTATAAATTACCCAGTTCCAGGTATTCCATTATAAGCAACAGAAATGGATTAATAGAAACACTCATCCTACATGACTAGGACATGTTGGCTTTCTGTTTGACCTTCCTCAGAGACCCTGATCTCCATGAGGGCAGTGACCATGTCTCCCTTGTCCATTGCTTTTCATCAGTGCCTGTGCTTTGAGGAACAACCTTCCCCAATATTCTTCATGTGGGGAACATGGCCAACACATTGCACTGTGAGGAATCTCCTGGGAGAGAGTCTCTAGGCTTTACAGCTGACGACAGTGTGCATGCACATGGGCTGCTTGAGCAGATGGGGTAGAAAGAGCACATGCTCAGAATTCAGCAACGGCCCTGGCAGAGCCTGAAAGGCCTGCGGGGGCACAGCTGGACTCCTAGGCAGAGGTAAATCTTCCATTTGCTCCCTTCCCTCCATGGCAGCCTGGAGCTGTCGGACTTACCTGAATGGGAACTTGCCGTCACCATTTTGGTCTCCACGGTGCCTTTCTTGGGGATGGGGAGTGTGTTGGAGGAGGGTAAATCTTCCATTTGCTCCCTTCCCTCCATGGCAGCCTGGAGCTGTCGGACTTACCTGAATGGGAGCTTGCCGTCACCATTTTGGTCTCCACGGTGCCTTTCTTGGGGATGGGGAGTGTGTTGGAGGAATTCCGGGTGGGACTCACACTTGCCGATCGGCTCCCCTTGAGCAAACGCTTAACATCATCCAGCTCTGTCCCTGTAAAAGAATCCCTGAGCTTTTCCATCAGGCTCAGGATTCCTTCCTGAGTCCATCTGCAGTCGAGGGAACATTTGTGGCATTCTGATCACGGGGGAGAATGGCAACTACTTCACACATTGGGACACTTTTGCTTAGCTTTATAATGTTTGTGTTTTGCCGATTTATAGTATTTATGAGTTTGGCACTTTGTCATATTAACGGCTTCATAAATACAGTGCCTCTTACAAGGAGGTCAAAGTCCTTGGGAGATATTTCCTAATTAGACCTTATCAGACACCACATGGATAACTCTGTGGCTGGAAGACGCTGTCACTCGGATCAGGCAGTTAGAGCATAAGGTCCCTTGAAATGAATGGCTTAACAATAATCCCATTCCCTGCACAGGATGCCTCTGATATTTGGTCCCTGACCTTGTATGCCTGATTGTGTCAAAAAGAATCTGTGTCAATAACTCCTGAACATTATGCTGCTTTCATATGTGGTTTAATTTCAAGTCTGTCTGGCTGGTATTACTTGCAGCAAGGTGAACTAGTGGACAAGCTCCCCGTACCTCCCAAAATGGGAAATGAGAGAAGAGGGAGACATTGTGAAAGGGCACTGAATGAGAAGAGGCAGACAGATTTGCAGACAACATGTGCTGGAGGGACTCCCAGCCTCCTCCCCTCCCTGGAAAGCTCCATCCTTTGGGCTCAGCTCTCCCAAGCCTGGAAGAACTCAGGTGAGAAAGTGTCAGGCCTACAGGCAGACCCCATGACCACAGGTACTGAGCTCTCTGGGCAAGCCCCCATCTCTGTCTCGAGCGACCTGACCCAGCTCTTTCTTCTTGTACTCTTTGTACTTGGGCCTATTTCAAAATGTTGTCAAATAACCTCCAACAGGAACAACAGGAGTCTGACATTCAATGGACAGAGACCGGGGAATCTCTGCCATTTGAGAATAGGTTCAAACTCTTATATCTACTTCTGACTCTTTTCTCCACTATCCCATTGCATCCCCACACTGAACCGTTGCTCATATGTCTCATGCCGCTGCAGTCCTCTGAGCCTAATTCATCCACCCTTCATTCTCCTCTCAAGCAACACCTGCCCAGGAAGGCCTCTCTGGGCCCCCGCGCCTGTTCCCATCTCCCTGGGCTGATGATGTAGGGCCATTCCCTCACCACACTGAGCTGTGATGGTTGATTTCCTGTCTCCCTGTTGGTCTGTGAACTACTAAGCATCAGGAACCATGTCTTATTCAGCAACCTGACCACAGCACCTAGCCCAGGGGCCAGCTCACAGAAGACCCTTAAAGATGTTTTATGATTGGGTGCACATGCACACACATACACAGACATACACGCACACTGTGTTAGCCCTGGACTCCTGGATCCTTTCTTTGCAGCAAGATAGTGACCACTTACATCGAGTAGATGGGGACGCACTCTGCAGTCGAACTCGAATTTCGCTCTCTACAAGGGATGAGATGGAGAAGGTTGTGAGTTAAGGATCTTGGATCACAGTCCCTGACACTAAGCTCTGAACAGTGGGTGAATCTTTGGGTTGATCTGAGATTTCTGAGTCCTGGAACAGGAAACCTAGGTATGCCCAAGAACAGGGCTGCTCAAAAAAGACACCTCTCTCTACTCCGCAAACTGCCAGCTGTGCACTTCCCAGGTACTTGGAGATGTTCTAACAAAATCCCAGGCTGAGCAAGGCAGCTCCATTATAACCAGCAATGACCATGCCCAAGAACAGGGCTGCTCAAAAAAGACACCTCTCTCTACTCCGCAAACTGCCAGCTGTGCACTTCCCAGGTACCTGGAGATGTTCTAACAAAATCCCAGGCTGAGCAAGGCAGCTCCATTATAACCAGCAATGACCAACCCCTTTCCCATTGCCCATCTCACAATCGTTAGAGCCAAGCTTTTCTCCTGCTTCTGTGCTCTCTCCAGCACTAGTGAGAGAATTCTAAAACCTATAGTGTTTCCTTAGCCATTCTTACCTCTTCAGAAATGGGAATGGCAGGAAGTTGGTGGTTAACATTATTAGTTGGCTTCAGGTGGAGAATTGGCATCTTTCAACCATCAGTCTGAAGTTGTGATTGGTTGGTATACTCCTAACTTTCAAGTTACTGATGATGATAAGGCCTATTGGAAGTTAGGCTGGTCACTGAGAACTCACTGAGCTTGTGAGAGATTCTGCCTTCAGCCCAGCCCTGACATTCTGCTTCCCACTCTGCCCAGAGCTTAGCAAGGGCAGCTTCTCTCGGGACCACACTTCTCTCCTGTATTCTTGTGCAGGTGAGGAGATTACAAAACTGACACGAAGCCCTTGGTCCTCTGGAATAATTAGAAAAAAAGGGCTTATTGCTCATCTTTTGATGTATAAAGGTAATGAAAGCACATCTTGTTAAAGTCAACCGGGAGACTAAAATTGAAACTAGATGTGGCCTCTGTATCTTCAGATAATCCTCAGCAGGACAAGTTATTCCCCAGATCATTACTGTGTGGTTTGATAGCTGGCTCTTTGTGTTAGATCATCATCAAAAGCTACCCTTCCCATCCTGACCAAGCCAGCAAAAGACTCTCGGGATATTCTAAACTCCTGAGGGCAGAAACCATGCCTTATTTATTCTTTTGTACACCTCGCACTTCCTGGCTCAAGGCTGGACACACATTAGCTGCTCAGAAAATACTTGTTGAATGAATTGAACTGAACCCAGCGACAGTGCTCACCTCTGGTTTGGCTCCGTCCTCTGGTGGAAGAAGATGCTGAGAAACAAGGAAAAGTAATCTTAGGCATGTATAAGAGGTGACATGCTGAATATTTTTGACATGAAGAGAGACATATTTGAGGGGTATTTTCATAGTGTGTCTGAATCCAGTTAGTGGCTTTTCTCTACAGCAAATGCTTAACTAACGATGACCCCGTAGCTAAACAGTGGAGGACATTTTGCAGTGCCCCAGCACATTCAGGATATTAAATTAGCTAAATGAGTGTTAGTTAGCTAACACTTAAAGTGTTAAGTTAGCCGAGGCAGTCCATTTGGGAGCACGATCCATGCTGGCTGACCACAATGATCAAGAATATAAAAAGCCTGCCAAATCTTCCCTTTAATTTTTTTTTAGGGACTGCCTTGGTTTCCTCACTGTAGGCAAATGAAAGTGTAATCCCTGTACAAGAATGCAGACCAAAGACTTAACGCCAAGTGAAGATACAGTAGAGTCTCACTAGGCATACAAGGTGCCCCTTAGAAGTGAGCTGTAGTGGAGGTGCTGGGGTGTTGCGCATTTGTGTGTTCTAATTGCTGCTCCTCTTTGCTGGGAGGTCTCTGTGCACCTCTTAAATGGAGAAATCCCTATAATTATTTCTTGGCCTTAGGGTCTTATCTGTCCAAGCATGGACCTTGGATAAATAGCTCTCCATTTTAGTAGTGTCATGAGCAAAGGTTTATGGCAGTGAATTAATGTAACTGACATTCCCTTCAGATGCTTTGGTATAAAGAGCAAAGGAAAAACAGGTCAGCAGAAGTCCAACTTCTTTAAAAGAACCCATTTGACTCATGATTGCCCCACCCCACCACCCCATCCCCCCCAAGCATTTTCCTAGTGTCTCGTTTGACCATTTCTTCGGAAAATAAGGGAAGGACATACCAAATTCCTTCCGAGGGTACTCTGGAGAAGAGTTGCCACTGGAGCTCCCTGGAGAGGAGATAAAACACTCACTACAAGTGGCCGCACAGGGCTGCAAGGCTTCTGAGAGGGGGGAGTGCTGGTCACTTATTTCCGAGCCTCCAAAGACCTAGGTGCTTCAGGAGGGAATGAGATGTGCCCTTCAGCAGACACTTTGCATGACCCAGGCTCAAGATTTAAAATGAGACACACCATGGACTTGGTTGTAGCACCTCATCTGGTCATGGATCTACTTTGGATGGGGCAGGAGGTTTTCATTTTTCCCCCCTTCCTCAGCTTGGTTTTCCCTGTACCAGCGCTAGAACAGGTGACCTGTCCTGATCAAATATTGCCTTCAGCACCAGGCGCCTCTCTGATCTTGTGACGCTTGTCCCGAATGTGGACCCTGTTAAAATGAAGGTACAAGCCCCCACTCAGGCCTGACATCAGAGAGTGCTGTGGTGACACAATCCGTCTCACGTGGATTTTGGGCTTCCCTACACCCCCGGGCAGCTCTTGTCCTGCAATGGTGGGGAGGCATCTCTCGGGATGCCTGCCCACTTCGTAAGTTTACTGGGGTATCTAGTCCCTTAGTCCCACTTCTCCATCCCTAGTGCCTATCTCCACTCATTATTAAACCCATTTGCCACCTGGCTTGTTAATTTCCTAAAACTGCTCCTGCAGATGCCCAGAAACTACAGTGACTTTAGTACTGAACCAAGTATCTTCCTCCATGACTCCTCCTTTTGACCCTGAGCGCTTTCTTGTGCTTACTTCAAAGATGCTGTGTGGTCCTGGTCCCTACCCCCCACCCCCACTGTTCCCTCCTCTGGACTACTGAAGATTGCCTTTTAACTTCTCACCCATGTTTAGTCTCTTTCTCACCAATTGCTATGGATTAAATTGTATCTCCCAAAGTGCAGGTGTTAGAAACTTAACCTTAATAGGGTGGGAAATTCTATTACAAGAATTGAAAGGTGGAGCCTTGAAGAGGTGATTAGATTGCAAAGACTATTCCCTAGTAAATGGATTAACCCATTGATGGTTTAATGGTGGTCATGGTGTGGTTCTGAGGGCTTTAAAAGGAGAGCAAGTGAGGAGGTTAGTCTCTCTCTCTCTCTGCTCCTGCCATTTTTTGCCATGTGTGTGATATCCTGTGTCCCTATAGAGCCACCACCATACAAGGCCCTCACCAAATGTGTTCCCTGGACTTTGGACTTCCTAGCCCCTGAAACTGTAAGCAATACATTTCATTTTCTTACACATTACCCAGTTCCAGGTATTTTGTTATAAACAACAGAAACTGACTAATACACCAATTCTTCCTGCACATGGCTTCCAGAATGCTAGTCTTAGACCTAAGACATGATGGACCTTTTGACTCAGAAATCTCTGCGGCTTCCCATTGTGTATAGAACAGAGACCAAACATCTTCTCCATTGAATCTGGATCCCTCAGTCCCTCATCACATAAGTACCACGGCTGCTTACTGCTTAACTCCTGGACTCTCCTGCCTGTCTTTGCTGCTGCTGCTCCCACAGCCTGGACTGCCCCATCTCCTCATCTCTCGGTATCAAAATCTTATGCATCCTGAAGGCCCAGCTCAGACAGACGTCACTTCCTTCATCGAGTCTTCCCTGATTTCCTCAGCTGAAAACAATAATCCCCTTCTACTTCACATTACTATTTTTTAATCTGTCATCTTAACTCGTCTGTTAGATTATAGACTCCTTAGAGTTAATATCCATGTCTGATTCATTTGAGCATCCAAGTCATCTGCGCAGTGTTAAACATATAAGAGATATTCAATAAATTACTAATGGAAAAAGTGACTAATTGGATGAATGAATGAAATCTTCAAGTAATGTGAGTCCATAAAAGAAAGGAAGGAGGCACAGGGAGAAAGGTTTGGGGGCAGACACAGGTGAAGCCAGGTGGCCAATACCTAGGTAAATCTTCAAAGGATGAGCGAAGTTACTGGGGGAGAGGATAGTTCTCTACTACAGTGGGACTGATACCTTCGTATGTTCCATGACGGGTAATGTGAGTTTTCCTTTCAAAAGTGGAGCCTGGTGAGTTGGGCAGAGTGGAGGCGGGTGAATGAGCCCTCCTGTAGCTGGAGGTGGAGGTGTTGCCACGTATGCTTCCACCTGCAAGTGGGGAGAAGCATAAATCCTCATAGAACGTCAGCAGAGATGAGTCCAATGACTATGGAAGTCCTGTTGTTATCACCCCAGTACACTCAGGCTGCACATACTATGAGAGGACCCTGCAGGAGGAACCAGGGGACATCGGGAGAGCACAACTGACAGGGTCTGCGGCTGCCCAAAAGTGGAAGGTGGAACTAGTGCTCCCACCTTTACTGAACAGAGGGTGTACTTCATGCACGTAGTTACCGTGCCCGGGAATGCAAAGCACTCAGCAGGTTTTTTCTTGAGGACTTGACATTTGATCACAGGCCACTGCTTGCGTGTACTAGCACATGATCTGATACGGAAGCATTCCTCAGTGGGTAAGGACAGGTGCTTCTCTTGGTCAGCCTGGACGTTCTTATATCTTGGGTCTTCCTTTTTAGTTTCACTTCAAGGTTTTTTAAATGGCACAGGGCTTATGTCTGCATCTTGTTTTTGGTTTTGTTTTGTTTTCGTTTGTTTTAGTGTAGTTTCAGTGGGAACAATGGGCCCGTGTTGGATGCTTGCCCAGTGCAGCCTTGCACAGTGTGGGATCATGTCACCAGACTCCCTCAGCACAGTAATCCAATCGTTATGTTTCTTTTTTTTTTAAAGATGACCGGTAAGGGGATCTTAACCCTTGACTCGGTGTTATCAGCACCGCACTCTCCCGAGTGAGCCACAGGCCGGCCCCGTTATGTTTCTTTTGTTGCTGTTAATGCAGATTGTAAGCCCTCAGATGTGCACACTCTTCTTTAAAAGAGATGGCTTAAAGAGAGTGATTCAGTGGGAAAACAGCTGCCTAACCATGAAGACTTCTTAATTAATGATAGTTATGTATATGGGGGACTTAATGAAAATTGTTCCATTTTAAGGGTTTCAAATGCTGATGATTTAAAAGTTGTACCCTTCCTGGGTTGTGTGTCACTTAGATAACTCTTCAGGGCATTTGGAATGGATCACAAGGAGTTGTAACTGTTGGTCCCTGTCTCCTTCTCAGGCCCCTCCCTGTCCATCTGCTTTTCCTGCACCTTTGAACCACAGGCACTTACTTGAGTTTATGTAACCGCTGCTGCCGTGGGTCAGGCTCTGCTTCTCCAGCCGGCTCCCTCCCCCAAGGGAGCCTGTTTTTGCATAGCCATTGCTGGTCCCCCCTTCTGCCAGAAACAGAATGCAGGTGACAATTTCAGCATAGAGTCAGGCTAGAGGGTTCCCTCCTCCCTTGCCCCGTGGAAGCCTTCCCTTGTTCCCACCAGGACCATCTTGGATTGGGGTTCCTTTCCCACCTACGCTACATGGAACCAGCTGCCACGTTCTAGTTTCATTTGTTTGTTTTTGATACAAATGTCTGGAGTGAATATTCCGCCTGATTTAAAAGGAAGGTCTTCTGGGTGGAGCATAACAAGTTGCTTATTAGGAAAATTTAAATATTAGAAAAAGCAGCAAAGGAATGAAAAGCTCAGGACCTGGGTTGGCCTTGTTTTTCCTCAAATGCTTAGTCAGTGCTCAGCCATGGCAGCCACTAGATGTGTTGGAGGGACCAGTGCTGACTCTGTGCTGTTGCCGTTCCCTCTGGCTGCCCATCACTGCTCCAAGGGGCTTTCCCCACCCCTGAGGAGCCAGGTTTCCTGGCAGGTGCTGGCATGGCTTTAGGGCTCAGCTTTCTAATACAGAATCTAACCCTAAGGAGCTCCTGGAAAAAAGTGGACTCAAACAGAAGTCTCGGCTGGTGGTTCCTCCTCCCCCACCCTATGCTCAGGTTGGATAAGATTTCTGATATTTTAGTGTCCAGAATAAGCAAATCTATAGAGACAGAAAGCATATTTGTAGTTTCTAGGGGCTGGGAGAGGGAAGAGAGAATGTGGAGTGACTACTGATGGTCATGACATTTCCTTTCGGGGAAGGCTTTAGGGCTCAGCTTTCTAATGCAGAATCTAACCCTAAGGAGCTCCTGGAAAAAAGTGGACTCAAACAGAAGTCTCGGCTGGTGGTTCCTCCTCCCCCACCCTATGCTCAGGTTGGATAAGATTTCTGATATTTTAGTGTCCAGAATAAGCAAATCTATAGAGACAGAAAGCATATTTGTAGTTTCTAGGGGCTGGGAGAGGGAAGAGAGAATGTGGAGTGACTACCGATGGTCATGACATTTCCTTTCGGGGAGTGATGGAAATGTTCTAAAATTAGAGTGTAGCGATTGGCTTTAGGGCTCAGCTTTCTAATACAGAATCTAACCCTAAGGAGCTCCTGGAAAAAAGTGGACTCAAACAGAAGTCTTGGCTGGTGGTTCCTCCTCCCCCACCCTATGCTCAGGTTGGATAAGATTTCTGATATTATAGTGTCCAGAATAAGCAAATCTATAGAGACAGAAAGCATATTTGTAGTTTCTAGGGGCTGGGAGAGGGAAGAGAGAATGTGGAGTGACTACTGATGGTCATGACATTTCCTTTCGGGGAGTGATGGAAATGTTCTAAAATTAGAGTGTAGCGATGTCTGCACAACTCTGTAAATATACTAACAACCACTGAATTATACACTTTAAACTGGTGGCTTTTGTTGTATATAAATTAATGTCAATACAACTGTTGGAAAAAAAAGGATTTCAGGTACTTTGGATTTGCTCAATGGAAGAGGGGCTCCAAGGAAAAGGTTACAGATGTAGGGTCCTTCACACGTGACCTACTGAGAAGAAAGCTATCGAGGCAGTCACTTACTTGGTGGTAAGGATGTAAGTCTTGTAGTTACTGTTTCCGTGATAACTAGAAAAAGACAAAGAAAAGATGAGATCTTATGTAATGTACTGGTATTTCTGTATTTTGGCAAGATCTAATATGTCATAAGCTAAGCATATTAACTTAGGTTCAATGTAGATTTTTGTATACTTGTGCTTGAAGGTATGTGATCTGACCCACCGTATGTGAAAATAAGAGCAATGGCAATGGGTTTTATGTACCTGGAAAATCAGCTGATATCTCTCTGGAACCAAAAGGAGAAATGAATTGCCTTGGCGTCATTTGACAATTGGACCCAGGCCAGGCCTCGGTTTGACTTTGAGGGAGGACCAGGCCCTCCTGTCTCAAGTCACTCTGCCTCTGCACTGCTCCTTCCCAGTTGTCACCTGATTCAGCTGGGACCACATACTGGCTGATTTCACTGTGTACTTATTCATGAATTTGGAAGTGTTTCAAGGACATGATGATTCATTCTGAAATCTTCAGGGCCAGCCCTGAGTGTGGGAGATGTGGGGAGGAAGGGGGTCGGGGTAGGTCACATCTGGTGCTTGGTGACATCAGAGACAGACTTGAGGAAGCAATGCCTCTGCCTCCCCAAATTGACTCTCTCTAGATCCGAGTGATGGTGAATCTATGAAGGCAATGGAAGCTTCAGATGTTTTAAAAGACAGCAGTTAGAAGAAAGACCTCTTGCCTCCCTGAATCACTATTCCCTGCAGCAGCATGGGAACATGGGTAGATTCCCTAAACTGTAGTTGGCTAATTTTGTGCTCCTGGCCGTGACCATCACCACTACCTCCCTCTTTGTTGGGTACACGTGGCGTGCATGTGCGCATGCCTGAGGGCAGGGGTGGTGAAAGGAGAAGAGTGAGAAAATGGAAGAAGATGGGGCAGGGTCATTTTGTGCCACTTTCGGCCATGTGGCTGGCACCTGCTTCATTCTGCACGACACTCATTTGCCTGGCCTTCACGCTGTATTTTCCTCATTAATTTGGTTATCCTAGCAGGAGCAGGGGGTTATCAGTAGAGACAGCAGTCAATGCATAAAAGGGAATGGGTTTTCAGAGATAGGTTGTGGCTTGATTTGAATAGTAGTCCTTGAGCTTTCACTAAACCTCTCATTGTATAGACCTTTGGGATTCTTGGATACACAAAAATAAAATTATTTCTTACCTAAAGCTCCAAGTCTGTGGAGACAGAGGTGTTTTATTTTATTATTATTTTTTTTTATTGGAGAGATATGAAAGTCACATAATAAGTGAAAAAGTTCTCTAACTTGGAGTCGCTGGGGGACAGTTTAGATGTCTTTGAATTTATCATTTGGGCACTTCTACAAAATAAATATATCTGTTTTCAATTTTCGGTGTACATTTCGACTATGACACTAGTGTTATTTCAACTTTGTACCTGCAATAACTGGGATATTATACTTTTGGGGTTTCTGTTGCCCTATATCCCTAAGTAGGGAAAGGGTTAAATAAACTACGGTAATTCATTCAGCAGAATATTATGCAGTTGTTAAAAATGCTGCTTATGAAAACTCTACATGGAAATGGCAATTTTCATCTTTGAAGAAAAAGCAGGACACATTTTGATTACAAGTATTAACATAAAAATCAACACGAGTCATCTTATGGGAAGGAATAAAGTCCATTTAGGAACACATTTAAAAGTGATACAGTGGTTGTGGCAAAATTATGAATGAATATTTATTCTGTTTCCAAATTTTTTTATTACTTTTATAATGAAACAATTATAAATTAAAAAATTTTGATGCTCTTACATCTTTCCGTGACTTCAGTGCCATCTCGTTTGCTTTTCTTGGTTACGTCCATACCATAGCCACCTGCAGGAGAAGCCAGAACCATGAACAGCCACGCCTCTTACCATTGCTTTTAGTAAGTACAGGTCTCTAGCGTTCAAGCTGAGAACAAAAAACTTGATTCCTGGTACTCAAGACAGAATTCTTTCATATAAATACTTTTTTAGAAGAGTCATTCCCATTTCCTGTCATCAGTTATAATAAAGAGTAATTTAATAGTTCACTTTGGATTCTGTTCCTTTGGACTGGGATCTTTTCAGAATCTGATTGGATCAGACTGCCCCCTGCCAAGCACCAGAGGGCTTGCGTAGCAGGTGTGGTGCCCTGACATTTGACCTCCATTCTTTGCCAAGGTAATAAATAGCTGAAGGGTATTTGTCAAGGCACTTAGTGCTATAGACTAATTCATTTTGATGTATCCCATAATGTTCAGTGTTCTATATGGAACTCTATGAATATAAGACATTCATGCTTCATTATTTAGAGTTTGAATGTGAGAATGGTGCTTGATAGATTAAAACCAGCATAAAAATCATTATAATTGTCATACTTGTATGAAACTTAACACTTTTCAAAGCATGGAACTCTGTTTTCACAAAAAACCAGCTCTCAAGTGCTTAGATGCAGACATAAGTAGGAAAAATAGATGAAGAAAATATGTAGGAAAAGACGTGTTTGTATGTGTTATCTATGTTCTCCCTTCGTTCTTACTCTGCTTCTGGAAAGGAAAATTATTGAGATCGTGTCTGCTGTGTCCCTAAGCATGCCTGGGATGAGGCATGTATGACACCAAAGAGGGTTGGGAGGGATGGGGTGTGAGGTTTAAACACACAGGAATGCAGAGCAAGAGTCCCCATCCCATTTGGGCTTTTTTTGCTGTGATGCCCAGTTCCACTTGTGGAAGGACTTGAAATCTGGCTTTCCCTGTGGTTCTCTCCCCTCCCCTAACCTCTTCCTCCTAGTTTATCTTTCGGTTGCAGTTCAAATTGGATTCTAGAATTCCGAGGTAAGAGGCTTCTGTCCAGGTGCACCTTACTTAACGATCTCTCTTTTCAGTCTTCCCCTGCCTGGTGACTTCAAGTTGACTTATCCATTAGCATTAGGCACAGCGGACACAGTGCCCAGGCTCATGACACTTTTTGGGGTCCACAAAAATGTATTAATTTCTTTTAAAATCACAAGGAAAAATGAACATAACCTAACCTGGATTATATGCTTCTTTATGTCAATGCAGTTGTAAAATATAATTTCATTATTATTTATTTATTTTATTGTAACATAGTTGATTGTACATATGTGTGGGGTAGAATTGAATATCAATACCTGCATTCAATATGTGATGCTCAAATCAGGATAATTAGTACATTCAACATTATACAATGTAATCGTTTTTTGTGGCCCTTTAGCAAATTAAAATATAATTTTAAAATCTTCTTTTTTTCTTAATGAAGGAAGGGGTCTACAAAAGCAAAAGTGTCTAGGGCCCACAGAAGTCATAATGTGGCTCCGGGTGGCTTCTTTGCTGAAAAACAAGATCACATGAGACCAACTGGTCAACTACCTGGTGGAATTAACCAAGACCAGCACAGTTAGCTTCAGGGCCTGTTCAAATGTGCCAACTTCTTGCTCATCAGTGTTTCTTAAGCACAGCTCTAGGCAAGGAATGTGGCATTACGGAAAAAATCCTAGCTGGATCTGAGAAGTCACAGAATGTCTTTATAGGTATGTTTCCTGTAGCCAAGAGGATGGGCTCCATAAACAGTTTAACAAGGGAGAAGGCCGAACCTGGCCTGTGACTATGTCGGCATTCCAGCTATAACCTGTATGACTTATGTCATGCAAACCTACATGCACCTGGACATCCTCTTTGAAATCCTTTGTTTAAGCATTAATTGCTTTTGGTAACTCTGGTGGCCTCTCCACTTTTTTTTTTTTAATTTGTCATTAGGTGTGGACCAGGAGGCATTTAGGAGATTAAACATTTAAATGCACCTGGCTGCCAGTGGAAGTGATTAGTTCTCTAGGACGGTATTAGAATTGATATGAAATATTATCCTGAAAGGAATTGTTTATAACAATCGATGGAAACTTTTACATCCCACCAGTTACTGCTTATTTTGGTCCTTTGGTGAAAATTGCTGTTGGCAGCTATCCATTTGGGACTGGCTGGGTGTATTCCACTTGCAGCCATTTAGGCAGATGGATGATAGCTCCGTTTGCTAAGTCTCCAAGCAGCAACCCCGGCAAGTTTTGCTTGTTCATTCTGTATCCAGAAAAATAACAGGCATTTCTAGACCCTCCATCGTTTCCCTAAATCCCAATGACGAAGTCTCAATTTCTGCTGCTAACAGCCAAGCGTCCCCCAATTTCCAGAGGGCACAAAGAGACAGACTACTAAGAAATCAGATGCCCTCCTGCAGGCCTGGGAGCTCCTCAGTGGAAGATACTCTGTGGAAAGAACCTGCCCTAGGTAGGTACAGGTAGATGCTTCTCTCTCATCCTGAGGCCACTAGCATGACTGTATGTCGCACGGCCATATAAAATTCTCGGCCAGACTGACGGTTGGAGGTGGCAGGGATGTGTTAGGAGACGAATTCCTTTAAACCAAATGTAAGAGGAAACTTTCTGTAAGTGGCTAATTAAATGGAGAATAGTCCAGGCACTAACCTGGACCCATGGGACCATCCCATGGGACCTATGGTATTCTCACGTGCCTTCTTTTAAAAACATTTTAAGTGCTGATAGTTTTTAAAACTGTAACATTAAAGAAATTACCTGCCCAGGTACATGCCCAAGCCTGCCCCTCCTAGCAGTTCTCATCAGTGAACTCCTTAGTCTTCCAAAAGTACTACTTAATGGAAACACTGTCAAACAGCATAATTTTAAACTTCCTGGACGTTCGGGCCACTTCAGTTAGAACTAAGGATGAGCAGATCATTCAAGTTCTCAATTTCAAAATTATATTAATTTCCATCCATAGTTCCAAGGGTCTGCTTTGTGGTTATTTCATAGCTAATGTTCTTTTGAAGATGCAAAAATAATCTCTTCTTTTTATGCAAGAAGACACAACTTGAAATCATTTTTCTGCTTTTATGAGTTTTTTTTCCTTTCCACTTTATTTAAATGATATGACATCCACCTAAAACTGTCAGATGATGATGAGGTGTAACACACACAAACAAGGACAAACCACTGTTAGCGACAGGAAACCATCACATTGACCTTATCTTATTCTAATGACACATGAAACACTGCTCTTGATACAAAGAAGAGAATAGAGATGCTGTTTTCTCTCCCTTTTTTATCTTAGGAATTGCAAGCATTTTTATAGCTTTTATTACTACAATCTCTGTACACTTTAATATTAAAACAAAACAACAACAGAATTGCCAAAGTGTGAGAAAACTATCTACTAGCTATTGACTAATAACAAAAAGGCCAAGCAGTTTGAAGTCAGGAAAACCAATGCCCTGGGGTTGCCTGTCTCAGAGGATTTCTTTCTGCAACACCCCAGAGATGGGTCTGCTGCTTGTGGCACCCTCAATTTTCATGAGTGGGGGTGGCAGGTTAAGGCACCAGCTTTGTGATTATGCTGCTTGTTTACAGTTGTGTCCTGTTACTGCTAATAATGCAAATGGACCAAACAAAGTAAATGCAGACTTTTTTTAGTCAGTCATGAAGATGGTTAGTTCTCAGGTCTGATCAGTTTCACCAATCTAAGGAGTTTCTATGCAAGTTTGAAATCGGACTGTTCACTTTAACTGTCCCCATATGAACTCTATCAGATTCAATCGGGTGTTTTGCAGGCCCCCTCTGATTCTCTGGGGGATATCCACCAGGGGCTGGACATCTGTGTTAGGTTAGTTCTGACTTAGGTCTGTGCCTCAGCTTGAGAGAACATACAGAGTGAAAAGAAACAATTCTGCTTTTCAAACAAATACCTTTTAAGAATCTCAGTACATTTTATGGACATAAATCCAACGATTAACATTAATCCACCGATTAACTGCTTCTCAAAAGAAGTGATGTGCCAGATGGTTTTGCTTCCAGTTCAAAGAGTGAAGTGATAATTTGTCAGTCCGCAGTTAGTGTGGTCCCGCTAGATACCTAAAGTAGTAATTCTCACCCCAAAGTGATATTTTGGTTTTGTGTTTGGGCCCAAGTTGGCCAGTAAGAGTATGTACACAGAAAAAATTTTCTTTCTTTTTTTTCTTCCTCCAAGTTTGACTCCAGGAAATTCCTGGATTAATTAGGCCATTTCAAAGATTTCTCTTTACTTTAGATTAGAGGTAGTGGCAATTTTTCAGGGTGATAAATAGCAATGTTTGCCCAGCCTCTTGAACTTAGTCAGAACCATCCAGCACAGAGGCCCGAGCAGAATAGGGGCTGCTTCCAGAAGGCCCCACTTAGCTGTACTTTAACCTCACCTCTGATTTTTTCTCTGCTGTCGAGTGGGGAGAATGAGACGGAGGGAGGGGGCGAGGGAGACAGTGAGAGAGGAAATCAAGGTTGAGGGAGAAGGAATTATAAGCCCTTATCATATCCTAAATAAAACAACTTAACACAACTCACTTTACAATAATGAAAATAATACTGAAAAACATCTTGCCAGTAGAGCATAGTACATCTTAACTGGACTTCATCTCTTTCCCATTCACGGATTTTTCTTGTTCCTATAAAAGACCTACCCTAAGCAGAATGCACACAGCAAAATCATGATTTATGACCAATGAATCATTTCAACTTGAACACTAGAAACTAAAGAACTTCATCTTATTTTCTCCAATAAACATCTACATTCTACACAACAAACCTTAAATCAAAGTCTCAGAAAAGGGGACAAAGGTCAGTCTTCCTGTTGCTTACCTGGCTGGAGATTGTGAAGGAATTAGAAACTTCTTTGGATAAATCCCCCCTCTCTTTCTTCCCCTGGTGCTTTCTTCTAGAAATTTGCAGTGCCCACTTTTTTTATCCAGACCCAGCCAAGGTGTGTTAAAGCTGAGTGATCTTTTAAAAATGTTCACTTCTCCTTTCTCCCCCTTGCTTCTTTCAGCTCTTTGCTTCTAGACAAGTCCTGACAAAGGTGTGTCATGGTTTACAGCGTTACTCCACCCTTCCAATTACCTGACACTTGCTGGATTTTTTTTTTAAAAAAAAATCTGCCTCCAGGAATCAAACTTTACAGGAGGCAGAAAGCTTCTCCTACCAGCTTAGGTAGATTAACCACTTACAAACTCATGGGAAAAGGCAATGAACAAGGACCAGCAAAAACGGGAATGCCCTTTTATGACTTCTCCTTGAAAAGTCTGACTTCTGACTTTTCTTGACCTTTTACAGCTAGAGAAGAGCCACAGCTTGGTATTTCCCTTCTTCAGGGCCATGGGATGTGTGAATTCCAGAGTGTGTGGCTCAATGGGTATCCACATGGGGGGCCTAGGGTGAAAGTGCCCAAGCCCTAGAAAAACTGTGAAGTTGACAGAATTTATTTTCAAGACCTGTTTCCCCTATATACGCTGTTCTCCCCTTCCCCCATTCTAACTCAAACTAGGTCTGTCCCATCTGGAGAAAACAGTTGGTAGACTAATTCATAAGACGTTAATGACTGAAAGTATTGAGCCATTGGTGGAGTAGGGGTTCATTTTTTAAAATAGGGAACCAGATATAATGATGCTGACCTAAAAGAGTAACATGCTAGTGATGGGATTTTGGGGATTTAGCCACGTAATAATGGATAGAGGTGCTGTTGGGGAGGGGATGAAGACCTTCTTGTCCTTCAAATCAGGTGAACATATAGTCTCCATATGTCTAAGGACATGTCGGCTCCCAGATGCCCTGTACCTCCAAGCACATCCCATGAAGTCTTTAGACTTCCCTGGAGGGTCAATTTTCACCAATCTAGATAATTCTCATAAATACCTGGGCAGCATATGGCTTTTCAGGACCGCTAAAGACTGGCTTGACACTCTTGGTGCTGCTAATATGGGAAGTCTAAACCAAGAATTCATTCATGGGTTCTATGGGGCCATGGTACATTCCTGGGACCTGACGTCAGGTTTGGAGTACCAGTTCTGAGGCATCATCCTAAGATCCTGGAAGGGAATCTTGAGATCCCTGCAGTATAGCACTGATGCATGTCCGAGCCCTCCTGTGGGCACTCACACCTCATGGAGGGGTAGCACACATCTGAGAACAACCTGCAGGACTCTCACTCCTAAGCTGCCCATATTCTACATTAAATTCACACATTTCAAAACCCTTTCAATGATCTAGAACTTGACACTTGCTTTCTGGGATGTTCTTGCCTTCCTCAAATAAATACTTACTCAACATATTTGCTTTCAGTCTCACAGAAGAAGAGCATTGAAGAAACTAGGAGAACTTTATGCATAAAATTGACATACACCTGGATCATTCATTCATTTATTCATGAATTCATGAATTCAACAAGAATAAGTTGGCTCCTGCTTAGAGCCAGATGTTGGACGTATTCCCTCTCCTTATGGAGTTCACAGTCCAGTGGAGGAAGACAGGCCTTGAAAAATGTATCCATTGGCTAGGGCTACCATAATGTAATACCACAGATTGGGTGGTTTAAACAACAGAAATCTATTTTCTCACAGTTCTGAAGGCTGGAAGTCTGAGATCAAGGTGTCAGAAAGTTTGATTTCTCCTGAGGCCCCTCTCCTTGGCTTGCAAGTGGCCATCTTGCTGAGTCATGGCTATGTTCTTTGTGCATGGACACCCTGTTGTTTCTCTCTGCATATCCTAATTTCTTCTTCTTATAAGGACACCAACCAGATTGGATTAGGGACTGGCTGGTTAGTTCAGTTGATTAGGGCATGGTGTTGGTAACACCAAGGTCAAGAGCTTGCCACCAAAAAAAAAAAAAAAAAAAAAACTGAACAGATTGGTTTGGGGCCCCCCCCAATGGCCTCATTTTAACTTCTTCTTCTTATAAGGACACCAACCAGATTGGATTAGGGACTGGCTGGTTAGTTCAGTTGATTAGGGCATGGTGTTGGTAACACCAAGGTCAAGAGCTTGCCACCAAAAAAAAAAAAAAAAAAAAAAGCTGAACAGATTGGTTTAGGGCCCACCCCAATGGCCTCATTTTAACTTAATTCCTTCTTTAAAGACCCTATCTCCAAATGTAGTCACATTTTGAGGTTCTGAGGGTTAGGACTTCACATACGAATTTCGAAGGGACATAATTCAGTCCGTAATAAGTAATTACATATGAATATATAATTAAGAATGTGATAACTGTTATATGCTATGAGAAAGCATAAGAGGGGACATAATCTTGGGGAGGAGTGTTAAGGAAATTCCTGCTCAGTAAGTGACATTTAAGCTGGTAGATGAAGTTGAATAGAGATTACTTGGGTGAAGGGAGGGATTGGGAACATTCTAGAGTCTAGACAGGGGAAGAGTACTTGAGAAGGCTTGGAAGTGGAAGAAGCGTGGTGAGTTGGAGGAACAGTGATGAGGCCACTATGTTTAAGGGCATCAAGTGAAAGGAGGTGACAGTGGAAGAGAGGCTGGCAAAGAAAACCTCATGGGCCAGGGCAGGGATGTGTTTTTCATACTTGGCAAATGTTCTTAAATTGACATTAGGCAGAGACTCTTTACAGGAACTGTACAAGTGTTTGAATCTTAGGGAAGAAGAGAGACTGGAACAAATGTTTTCTAGGGCCTATTATGTGCCAGATATTTTGTGTACATTATCTCACATAATCCGTACAGGAACTCTAAGAGGTGTTACTATCATCTTTATTTTGTAGCTGAAATTTTGAGTAACAAGGCCAAGGGTCTTACATCTCCTAAGAAGCAGATCCCATACTCCACCTGACTGTTCAACCCTCATTTCCCACTGCCTTGTGTGTTGCTAAAATTTAAGTACGCCCATATCTTTGAACTAAAAGAAAATAGGCAATATCAAAACAGATCAGGCTGAGGGCAAGTGACAACTTAAATAAGAACTAAAGCCATTTGAACAGTGGGGATGGTTTCAGTCAACAGCACTATGATGTTGGTATAATTTATTGGTGATTTTAGATAGAAATCTATTTACTAGGATTTGCAACCATGGACAAATCAATTATTCAACTGTAACTACTATATAAAACCAAACATGCTGAACAATCATCAAAATGAGCATGGGTGGTTTTTTCTTCCCCTTGGGTTCCTCTATTGGTATTTTTCAGATACAATGGAAAAGTCAAAACCATAATAGATACACCCCAAAGTTAATTAATCAAGGCTCCTCAGAGCTAATTCAATTAGCTTGGATTAGCTAACAAGCCTGTGTATATGTGTGTGTGTGTGTGTGTGTGTGTGTGTGTGCGTGTTCCTGCATATTCATACGTGCCCCTGTGAGTACTGTTTACAAAGCCCTGTACTAGCCACTTTGTGGGAGAAGAAAATTAAGAGAATTCAAGTATTCACATTCTGGTTACTCAAGGCTCATAGGTTATTGTACTTGGCAAAATTGTGAACAAGGGTTAACTTGGTACATGAAGTGAAAAAAACCTTATGTTCATTCAACATTCATATACTAAGTTCCTACCGTCTGCCTGGTACTAAGGGAGTTGCCTTTTGAGTGTTCTAAATTAATGAGAAAATGACAAAGTTTTTGCTAAAATGAAGAAGCAAAGAGTCAACATTAGGAAATAGAAGTGACTAAGACACCGGAAAGGTGTTTCTTGCTTCCTGACTGCATTCGGAGCAATGTTAATGAGTCACATTAGTCAAATTTTGATTGACTAGGAGTCCAAATTCCTTAAAAGGCAACTGGAAAAATAGTCATATTCCAAAATTGTCTACTGACTTTTGAGTCAGCTGAGAAGAAAGGATGTCTGGTCACGTGTGGCTCAGATAGGCACCAAGTGACTAGACTCTGATCACCCACTGAGCAGCATGGGAGCAGGTGTACTCTGCTTCATGTGGCCGACGGGTTTCTGAAAAGTGATTGTAAATCCAGTTATGGAGTGAGTGCTTTTGTCAAATGACCTCATTAATCTTTGGAAGCCCAGATTTTCCTTTGTTTGGTTTAAAGCAGTCTATCCTATAGATGGATTTCTACTTATTCTGTGACCCTCCTCCCATAAAACAGCATGACATGATAGTGGTATGATGTGGTTATGATACTTTCATCCAGAGATCCTATAGCTTTGGGACACATTTGCCCTCCATTCCTAAGAGACAATAAGAAGTAAAGTTCATGGAGAAGGAGGCTCTTTTGTTGGACAGTAAATCCACTGATTTTTTAAAAATACAAATTTCTATGTATTAAAATAAAAATAATACAATAGTTATTTATCACAGATTGCTACTACTGTTCTAATACTAGAAGTCCATATTTCCACCTGGCTTTCTTTGTTTTGCATGTGCTCCTGGATAATAAAACTTCCCTATAAACAGTCATGACAATAGCATATGTCACAGTTTATGGAAGAGTTTGGTTTTTGGAAGGATGTCGCTGAGAAACAGTACCAACAACTTCGACCCTTTGCATGCAAGATTAAGGTCTCCATCTGCTTTTCTTGTCTATAGAGCTTCTTGAATTGTTCCCAAATGTGTTCCTTGCTACCTTTATTATAATAACAAAACACTTTGGTTTCCTTTCTTCTATTCCCAACTTCAGACCTATTCATTCATTTATCCATTCAAAACCCATACCTGTTTTTTGAATGAGTAAACCACTACCCATTGAGTGTCTACTATGAACAAGGCATGGGGTGTATAGATACAATTGAGGATGAGATGTAAAAGCTGCCTTCAAGGAATTTACAATGTAGAAAAAAAAAGGTATATGGACAGATTCACCACATATACAAATAATAAAAACAGGGAAGAATGCAAATCATAAGAGAATTAAGAAGTATGAAAATCTACCTCCAGCTGTGGGTATCAGCCAGTGCTTCATGAAAGAAGCATCATTTGAGCTGAGCCTTAAAGGATGGGTGGTATGAAGGGTGGAGATGGAATTTCAAGCACAGAACCC